AGGCAGGCATTCCACTCCCCCCCCCTGCTAGTCCTCTCCCCATTTTGTGATTCATTCATTCCAGTGGCCATGGGTCAGTCGGTCAGTCGGCCTGTCAGTCCGTCCATCCATCCCATCAGCCACTAGTTTGGGGCTGTCGCAGCGAACGCTCAAACCGCATTGCCACGACCATGCATCAGAGGAGCAGCCAGGCAGCCAGGCAGCCAGGCAACCAGTTTGAGCCAAGTGCTGATGATGGTGGTGGCAGTGGCAGTGGCAGTGGCAGTGGTGCACGTAAAAAACCAGAAGCATCCTACAAATTTTGTTTTCATCTCCATCATTTTTTAGAGGCAGAGGCACAGGCAGTGGGCACAGGCAGTGGGCAGAGGGCAGATCCAGGAGTGCTGCTGCCACACTGCCGTCCTGCAGGAGAGGAGGGGCAGCCAGAGGTATCGGTGTGTGTCCTGAAGGTAAGGATTCTGCCTTCTGCCTTCCACGACTGGGAGTGGGGCGCAGAATAACAACCAATTTATTTGGCCACGCTGCAAATTGTTACCCAACTCGCATTCGATCATCGTCATCATCGTCATCATCATCGTAGTCATCGCATCCCTTCGCAGGACCCTTCCTGACGAGTGCTCCACTGGTGGCCAGTCGTCCTCGTCCTCGTCGTCCTCGTCGTCCTCGTCGTCGTCATCATCAAAAATCGTTGATTGCAACAAAACAAATTGCATTTTAAGGAGATTACTTGTCCGGACCGTCTGCTCTCTAGATGAATAGTCCGTCGAGTGGGTTCAGTGGGTTCCCCCCCCCCCCCCCCCCCCCCCCCCCCCCCCGTGTGTGTGTGCACGCCATGGAGCAGTACGAGGACGAGGACGAGGACCAGGACCAGGACGAGTACGAGCCAGTGCGAGTGGCCGATTTTTTAATAAATCATGGCGCATTAGTATGGGATTGCACGAAAAAATGCACTGCATTGAAAACTCGTACCCCATATTTTTTTGGGTTTTTTTTTGTTTTTTCTGAAGCGAATTGGCAGACATCAATCGGGTCTCTGGCCAGAAGAGGGGGAGGAGGTGGGGCCACAGATCTCGGAATGATGGGGCATCCCCCCTCCCCACTCTCTCTGCCACTCCCGCCCCGAAGGTGAACCGGAATAAAACACACACAATTTGTAATCTTGAAATCTTGCAAGCGGGCAGCCGCGGGGTGTAAGAGGGGGAGAGAGAGAGGGAGAGAAACCGAAATGGGAATCTAATTGAGAATTATTTCTGCTTATCTTCATTCTACACACACACACACACACACACGCACACGCACACACACGAAGAATGTTTCGTACTCTTTTATCGAATTCTTCTTGGATTTTGTGGTCTGTGGATTGTGCGTCGAGCTGTTCGACGATGGTTTCTTGGGTCTCCCCACTAGAGCCCCATCTGCCCAGATCCCAGTTCCACGCCCAACTGCTCTGCGCCTGGGACCCCCACAGCCTCTTCCTGCATCCACAATGGAATATTTTTTCAACGAGCTTTCCAAATGGAAACATTTATATGTATTTTGCATAAAAAATTGGGAAATAATAAATAAATAAATAAATATGAAATAAATAAAAGTTATTGAAAATTATTCCAAATGAAACAGTGTATAATTTTCGCCTGATATTGGATTAAAATATTAAATCAGTTTTAATATTTAAATTGGGAATTGGGAAATAATAAATAAATAAATAAGAAAATATAAAATAAATAAAAATAATTGAAAATTTTTCCATTATTATGAAAAATGTATAATTTTCGCATGATATTGGATTAAAATATTAAAACAGTTTTATCCTTTAAATTGGAAGCTATTTTACGATATTATTTTAAGATTTTAAATTCAATAAATATAATTGAAAAATCTTGGAAATGGAAACATTTCTTATTTTTGCATTAGTCACAAATGATAAATAAAATGCATAAAATAAAATAAAATAAATTATCAAATAAGTTGATAAGATCCCATGGGGAATTCTGCGCTTGTGTATTTTTCAGATAACGATATACAAAGTGGCATAAAAATAGCTGCATATTGCGTGGGTAAACATTTAATTTCGCAACTTTTATTGTTGCCATAATTATTCGTATTTAAATGGGAAAACAAAAAAAATTGCTGGAAAATTGCAGAGAATAAAAATGAAGTTTTACAACTTGTTCAAATCGAGCGGAATTTGGGGATGGGGCCAGCCTTAGAGTCCTGAAAAAAGTCGCGGGCCCATAATATGTGTTGCCTGTCCCCTCAGTGCTGTAAAAACATTCGAATATATGATATTATGATCTGTGCTAAAGCTGTTTGCAAACGCCCGCCCGAGACCTGGCTAATAAAAACAAATCCGCGCCCCAACCAAAGGCTCAATCGTGTCCCGGGCAAAAAGGCGGCCAATAAAAAGACGAGGAATTGTAAAAAATGCATGATTCAGGCAGTAAAAGCCAGCCAAAACGACCCGGCCAGCCGTCGTCCTCGGAACCGCGGGGGACTTTTCCATGAGTCACCAATCCACGCCAGGATCCTTCCTGCTCCGCACGAAGGTAACAAACAAACAAACAGGGACTTGACGGGCACGGGCACGGGTCGTAGCCAGAAGCCGGAGTTCTACCCAGCATAAATTTGCGGAATAAATTCAAATGCTTCCGTCTGTCCGTTGGCTGGCCTAGTGGCAGACCACGCGGCGTATTAGTAATGTAATTTGATTTGATTTTTATGTTCCGGCTGAGAATGGCAATCGGCGGGGATGTGAATGGCGGCGAGGGGGGGGGGGGGGGGGGGAGACTAATGGCTAATACACGCACGACACGGACTTATCGCAGCTGCCATGCTAATTGCGGACAAGTGATTAACTTTAATTGCAGCAGATAAAAGCCCCGAATCGAGGCTACGAGATGCTCGTAATGCTCGTAATGCTCGTAAAGCCTACGTATGTGTGTTTGCGCATCGCATCTCTCATGAATGAATGCTGCCACAATATGTATCAGGAGGCCATGGGTTTTGGCCACAAGTCAAAAGGTCCTGCAATTGGCCAACATTCCGTTCAGACAAACAGACACTTTTCACTGCGGATTAGAGATACCACAGCCAGAGAGTGGTCTGTCCACAATGCCCCAAAGTTTTTGCAAATTATTATTCTCTCGATGCCGATACCCTGTAGCCCCCTGGAAAGGACAGCCACGACGGCAGGAGGGCATCACGGCAGCTCCGTTTGAAGCCCGTGGAAAAGCCCTCCACTGAGTATCGCGTGGTCGAGAGATTCGTCTTTGGGCGGCCAGCGTTCCTTCTTTGTTTGGAATTGGAATCAAAATTTGTGTGTGTGTGGGCTTTGGGTTTTCCATGGAATATTTGTAATTTATTTTGCAGACATTCAAGGAAATTGCTATTTATTTGAAACAAAATACTGCACAATGTGCATTCAGACGGAGGTTTGATTGCCAAACTGAAAATAAATTGGGGAAAACCCCACACACACACACCAGCACACACACACAGCACCGGAGAGGAGGCCCGTCGATGGAGTTTGTGCAAATTGAAACTAATTAAAGCCGAGTAATCAATTTATATCTCTATCGGCATGAACGTTGCACTGCGATTGGTCCCGGTTTTCGGCTGGATGCATGCACCACCACCCCCCGCCCCCACCCCCTTTCGACACTCGACATCCGACTCTCGTCCGACGTCCACAGAGCACAGAGCACAGAGCACAGAACAAACCGAAAATCCAATCAAATCTGCAGTTGTTAAAGCGTTTTGATTTCAGTTTGCAGTCGATTCGGTTTCTGATTAATTGCATTGCAATTATTTCAATTTGCAATTACAGTTAATATAATAATTGCCACTCAATTCAATGCAACGACTGCATTGATGATGGCTTGGCAATAAAAAAATAAAAAAAAAAAACACACACAGGGGGAACAAAAGGAAAAGTATTCCCATTCACTTTCCCACTGTCCGTGATGGGAAAATTGCATTCACTGGCGACGGAAAATGTACATCAATTCATATTTTTATCAGCCACAAATGTTGCAACTGAATTGACGAGAGGATTTGACCTTTGAACGTGAAGCAATCAAGAGACGATGAATGTGAGGAAATACCGTTAGAGAGCGATTCAGGAGCGGAATGCAGATGTCTCTCGCATGTCAGGGCTTATGTGGAATAAAAACACAAAGACCACGAATCGAAGAATCGAAGAAATTGCAATTCGATAGCTTTGATAGCTGCTCCAGCTATAAGCCATAACAAGTGTCGTGTAATTCAAGTGGAATGTGGAGGGGGGGAGGGGGTGGTGGAGTGTGTTATCAGTCGTGCAGCTACAAAGTGACAGATAGCTAAAAATATTTAAAAAATGTTCTGTGTTGAACTGTTGACTAAATGAGTCAAAATAGTGCATCCCCCGAAAGCTTCCCCGCCCCATCCACCATCCCCCACTCATATTTGATTCATTTTGTTGTTTGCATCCATTTTTTTGTATGGGGATGTTCGCCCATTTCCATGTAAACGATATGTCATAACATATTTGTCGAAAGAGGAGAAAATAAAACTACACTACCCCGATTGTTTACATGATAGATATACTCTTTATAGTTCGAGGCTCGGGCACAATGTATTTATTTATTTGGACGATAAATATTATTGCAGATACACAACGACGGAGTCGGTTATTGAATTTTGTTTCAAGAATTCCATTAACAGATTAAAATATCAGTAAGCGACAAATAAACGATTTAGTTGCGACAAGTTTTTAAAGTTGGAAGTTTGTGTTAGTTTTCCCCTAAAATACATATGTATATATTTAAGATGCCTAGACTTATTCTCCCCACTGTAGACACAGAGTTTTTACATTGCTTTTGCATAACTCTCAATAGACACACACACGCACGCACACAGAGGTGACGGCGGAGGGCGTTGCGCAAAGAGATCGAGGGCAGGCCAGGGTCATGGGAAGGCTACTGCGATCGACAAAAGCGACATCGTGTTCGGATGCTACTTACCGTTGTTTGTTTTGTTGTTGATCGAAATAACAGTTAGTTGTTGTTCGGCAGCATTCGGAACGTCGGAACACTATTTGTCGATGATGTAAAATTCAGCGGCGCACACTGTTAGTTTAATGGTTTTTTTTTTTTGTTTTATTTGCAATGTGTTCTTTTGTTTCGTTTTCTTGGTTATTTCTTAAAACTGCAAAAAAAAAAAAACAAGAACCAAAAGGCATTATGAGTACCAGACTGGACTTTTTGTCGTATAGAACGGGGCGGGTTCCCTAGCACCTAGGTACATAGGGGCTTCCATTTCTTGGAAGATCCCCGAAACAGAGGAGGCGTAATCGCTAGCTTTTAATTAGTGTGCGTTAGTCGGAGCACTTAAATGGATAAATGGGGAGTTTCAGGTGTAAAATGAGGTAATTTGTTAAATTTAAAAGCCAGACTACTGAGCAAATCTTTGGCCAAGAAACAGGTTTCCCGGCGATAAAACCGGAAAACAAAATAAGAGACACAGCACAAAAACAAACGCAATCCAGAAAGCGAAAAGCATCGTCTAACTGTAAGTTTTTTTATAAGCAAATCATCATCTACGTGCCTGAGTGTGTGTGTGTGTGCGTGTGTGAGTGTGCGAGCACATGTACATTCAATGGAATCCAGTCACGACACGCCGCCGCAAAGTCACAGAGGGCAGAGGCAAACACACAGTCCCGCAGCACTCGCACACTCATGCAAAGACAAAAAGCAAAGTCAGTCAGACAGACAGACAGGCAGCGGCGCTGCCATGTGGGACGGGACGGAGACGACGGGGACAGTTCAAATCCAATTAAAAATAGTTGAAGAAATTAATTTTAGAAAACCACAGAAACATTGCATTATTGACGGTAGTCTTTGGGATATTTTTAAGTTTTTTGGCGTCATTGTCGCTGCCGCTGTAGCCGCTGGTGCCTCTGCCGCCGCCGCCGCTGCCGCTGCCGCATTGACACAGTTCGCCCTCTCTCGCTCTGGCTCTCTTGTGTGTGTGTGCCTTTGCTTTGTTGCTTCTCTGTTACTGTTTGTTGCTTTGCTTAGCCTATTCTCTCTCCGAGTCTTTGGCGATGTATTTTGTTTGTCTTTTGGAACAAAACCAAAATCTGAGAGAGTTGCATCTTTCCATTTGAACAATTCTTGTTCCAGCAAAGCAAAAACACGCTGGCAAAGCCAGTCGTTCAAACACACACACAAAAGCAGAAGTCACAACACTCTCACACCAACACTCAGTCTCGCACACACACACACACGTAGGCAGTTCAAATTAGTTGGCCAGAGTGAGCCAGCAACAACAAACTGCTGCTGTGGCGGCGGCGGCGGCGACGACGACGACGGCGACAGCGATTGTTATTTAAACATTTTTCTCTCATTCTGACACGCGACATTTCTTTCCCCTTTTCACAAAACACAAAAGACACAAACAAAAACAAAAACATTAAAAAAAATATGCAAATGCAAGAGCCGCGTTCAAAAACAATTACAAAATCACGAGAATCAAGCACTTGACGCGGGTCAAAGGCGGCAACGCGGCGAGACGGAAACTGCAGCTGACTACGTGGAAATACTAAATTTTCTAAACGCTCGAATTAATTTTGATCACTATTGTCTCGTCCCTATAGTTAACTACCTTTCCAAAATGTTCAATATTCCGTCTGTTCGAACCTTAGCGGAAAACAGAATCACGGAACCATAGAAATTCGTCCGCACCTCCACAACACACAGTTCACGACGACGACGGCAAAACAAATGCCCCCAAACAATCCAATCGCACGCTGGCCCCCCAAACCCAAATAGGCACCCACTTTACTGTCCGAAACATGTTTCATTCACGTTCACAAGTTTCGGGGCGGGAAGGCTGTTGTTTTAAATACGACCGCCTTGTTTCCGTCACATAAGGTACCTAAGGTGAGGTGAGGTTTGTATGGCATGCCGTTTATGTTGCTGGGTGCTTACCCTCGCTGTCCATACCTTTCCGTAGCACAGCCCAGAGGTTCGAGTTCGCTCAGCCGGTACTGTTAAGCAGCAGCTGCTAATGAACTGCTAAGTTTAAACCTCTTCTGTAGTTTATGGAAATTTCTATACCCTGTATTCTTTACATTCTTTAATATATTTTTCTCATATAAGGAATATACATATTGATATTTTTAACAATATCAAAAAACTATTAGTGTTGTGGCAAAAAATGTACTCCATACCCTATGAATATTTCTGCCTTGGCGATTCCAGTCGCATGGTGAGTTGGCTAGGTTTCGCGTCAGCTGATCGAGTTCGAATGTTCCGCAACAAAAGTATACAACAGTTTATTCGAAGGGCAATGTGGCGCCCATTTGTGGGGAAATGCATTTTTTGAATATGCTTCTAGGCTGGACATAACATAGAGTGGAATGTATATGAATATTAAATGCTGGCTGCTATAAAACTATCAAAGCTTGCTCTCTTTGCCGGTTTTTACATTAGGTTCAGCAGAACTTTGCCGATCATGCCGCGGAGAACTTCTGGGACCTGTGAGTACTGCTCGGGTTGCTTAGGGCACCAGCTATGATGACACCATCCCCAGCTTGTCCGAGGACCAAGGAGACATCTTAGTGCGGAAGCTCCACGAGGTAATACGCTATGTGGAGCCATCGAATGGCGAAGAAGAGAAGCCCAGAGTACGGGAAAGTCTCGAATACGAGACCGCACGGAAGCGCTTAATCGCCGCCAATGCCGTCTGGAAGCAGCGTATGAGCCCTCGCCAAACTTGCCCACTCCCTGAGAGACGTAGCCACACGAGTATTTTCAGGCAAATACACAAATAGACAGTCGCTCTCCTCCATAATTTACGTATTGGTTGTCGCCGGCGAGGAGGACGTTAATCGCGCGGAGGACTGCCAATCCTTTTCCTGTCACCCTGTCGTCCGCTCGCGTCGTTGTGTCAGTAAGTCGCCTCCATGGCTATCGGAGAATGTAATTATTTTCCTTGTGGGCACACGAAAGCAGCAGTCCCAACAGCTCCAGCTCAAACTGCTCCATGGTCTTCGCAGATGAGAGCGGACGCGTCTACCAGAACTGGGCCTCGTATGTGGCCACCAACGAGTTGCCCACCGGAGTGATGGTGGCCCCAGAGCGAGGCATTTACCGGCTGGTCAACGGACAGGTGAGGTTGCACAAGTACAAGACGCAGGTGCTCGAATACCCCCTTCAATGCTCGCTGTCGATTGGCGGTTCGCAGCTAGAGTGAAGTAAGGGAAGCCGACAAAGCCCTGGCCCCGTCTGCCTCCGCCAGCTCTGAGGCGAGTGTGGGCTCTGACGCCCCCCCGGTGGACTGTGTGGTGGGAGCGTGCACTGCCGTCCACCTGATGGTGAGACCAACCAATGATTCCGTCGGAGGTATGGTGTTCGTCCTGAAGGATTACGGACAAGTTTTATTTGACCACATTGTGAATGCCAAGAGCTTCCAGGATTTGATCACGGGCATGGCCGAGGGCCTGGCACCCCGATGTCTTCAATTTCGTCATGCAACTGACACGAACCTTTTTGGACAACCACGTGGAGGAACTAACTTCGGTGCTGAACTTCCTTATTTCCATCGAATCGGTGCTGTATAATATCAAAGAGATTATTTTGGAAAAGTACGCCGACGCGGCCTACGAAGTGATTATCGATCACGCCATTGATATTTTGTCAGCCGCCAGAGCTCACTACGTAACTAGAGCCAACAGAGCATACTGATAGTCAGGCCTAGAAACATATTCAAAGAATGCATTTCCCCACAAATGGGCGCCAAATTGAAGTTCGAATAATCTGTTGTATACTTGTGTTGCGAAACATTCGAACTCGATCAGCTGACGCGAAACCTAGCCAACTCACCATGCGACTGGAATCGCCAAGGCAGAAATATTCATAGGGTATGGAGTACATTTTTTGCCACAACACTGATAGATTTCTGATATTGTTAAAAATATCAATATGTATATTCCTTACATGAGAAAAATAACATTGATATTTATCCGACACCGAGTACCAGTCCTCTAAGAATATCTCTGAGTTTCAGTTTGGGCAAAGAATACAGGGTATAGAAATTTCCATACAACTATAGAAGATGTTGAAACTTAGCAGTTCATTAGAAGCTGCTGCTTAACAGTACCGGCTGAGCGAACTCGAACCTCTGGGCTGTACTACGGAAAGGTATGGACAGCGAGGGTAAGCAGCCAGCAACATAAACGGCATGCCATACAAACCTCACCTCACCTTAGGTACCTTATATGACGGCAACAAGGCGGTCGTATTTAAAAGAACAGCCTTCCCGCCCCGCAACTTGTGAAACTTATGAAATATGTTTCGGATATTAAAGTGGGTGCCTAATTTTTCTGGATGCCTAATTCTGAGGCTGAGAGATCTATCTAGCTAGTAATATATATAAAATATAAATAAAATATAACTGGAATTTGTCAGGATATTTACGGTATATTTTTCAAATGCGACAGTATATTTTGGTATATTTCTGATGGTCGATAAGTCCAGCTGTTTATGTATCTTCGATCAAACACTTGCAGAAAATTTAAGAAAACGGAAAGTTCGCGAGAAAATGCCCTGTGTCTGAGAAATCCTAGCCGTGAAAGAGTGGTCGCCATGGACAAGATTCTGGAAGAGGTGAGTAACGAGTTCCTTTCACGCGATGCGGGAAAAAGAAAAGCCTTTTCACACCCTTTTTCCATTCGGGTTTTCAGGTCAAAGGCAATGTACAAAAGAAGTTTAACGAGGTTCGCGCGGCGCTGCATATGCGCGAGAAGCTGCTGCTGCGACAGCTGGAGGTCATCGCCAACACCCAGCAGCAGCAGATGCAGCTAAAGGCGTCGCCTGTGGACAGCTCGGATAGTGCGGACCAGGGCGGTGTCCGCTTCATCACTGGCGATGGGGACGAGGAGGAGAAGCTGCTGGCAGCCATTCGCAGCTTTGGCCACTTCCTGCTGGACAACAGCAACATGCAGCTGGCGCTGCAGGATTATCGGAACACCGGACTGCGCAGTGAGGACTACATCGAGCCGCTGGACGACCACGATACGATGTACAAATACCTGCAGGACCGCAAGATCTCCTACTATGACCTGGAGGACGAGGCGCAGCCCGAGGCCATTGTGGTGGACTTCTCGGGGAACAAGAGTGTCGTCGAGGAGAACGCCAAGCGTTCCATTATCAACATAACGCTGCAGGAAGCCAAGGAACTGATACGCAAGGCAAAGATAAAGCGCGATTCCCACGTGCCTGTGGCCGTGCCGCCGCTCAATCTGGAAGAGCTGGACGATGAGCTGGAGTCGTCAATAGCCGATGCTGTCTCCAGTCTGGGCCGAGAGACGGCCAAGTCGAAGAGCAGCTGCCTCGAGCTGCCATCGGCTGATCCCCCCACCAAGCCCAAGGGCCGCAAGCAGCGCTTCAAACCAAAAATCACAATCAACAACTGCAACGGCACCATCAACCTGCGCAACATCGCCAGCCTGACGATCAACTGCGCCACCGAGGAGGCCGTCAGTGCGGAGATACCGATCGTGAAGTCTGCCGACTCCAGCAGCAACACCGATCACTCCCACTCGCACTCTCAATCGCAGTCGCAGTCGCATTCCACTCCGACAACCACCGCCTCCAGCTCGAACTATTCGAGCAACGCGAGCTCCCGTTCGCAGTCGAAGAAGCAGTCGAAGAAGAATGCTAGGCCGGCGGCACAGACGGTGGAGGAGCCGCCAAAGCAGCAGGCCTCCAGCTCTGGCCAGTCAACACCGACCCCCAGGAACGGGTATCGTTTTCAGGAGGTAGACACTCACGACGTCACCTGCGACTTCTACAATCGCCTGCTCAACGAGATCAAGAAGAGCATGAAGGAGAAGCCGCGGCGCCCATACAACAATGTGCCAGAGCCAGAGCCAGAGCCAGAGGCACCCACAACGACCTCGTCTGTGCAGACAGCAGCCGCCGATTCTAGCTGCGATGCCAACTCCAACACAGTGCAGCCGTCGAGGCAAGAAGACGTGTCCATATCCAGCAGCACCACCACAACCACCAACACCCAGAGCCAAAGCCAGGCCACAGAGTCGGTGTCGGGGTCACAGATAGCGCCGGGGAGGCGCTTAGTCCTCAAGAACTTCGAGAACTTGAAGATCATCCTAGAGGCAAACAGTGGGGACGAGGACTCCTTCCATCCGGTGCAAATCGAGCAGTGGCTGGCCGAGATCATATCTGAAACGGACCTGGAGCCGATGCAAAACACGGACATTCTCGAGCACAGCCAGATCAACAATACCGAAAGCCCCTAGGCAGGCAGGCAGGCAGGCCAGGCAGCATCCCAGCGATAGCCATAATCCCACATAAATCGCAATCAATCCTTAAAACGCACTCAGTATTCTCCCCCACATATACACATATTCACGACTATTCGTACGTAGCTATAGTTTCCCCTTGAATTAGTTGTTTTATCTCGATCTGAGGACCCCCCTCATGTACTTATTGCATTTGATTTTGTGATTTTATCGTTTTGTAAGACTTGAAAGTGTACCAATTTTATGAGCCACTAGGCCTAGGCTAGCATGTAAGAGCTGTAGGCAGTGTTCACTGTTCGCCACATCATACATACAGTTATATAAATATATCTCTAATCGAAATCGAAATCGAAATCGGCCTACATTAAAGTGCTAAATGCCAACGTCTGGACCACACTTTCGCTGGCCCACTGGTTCGACCGGTTCGCCCGCTGAAACATTGTGAAATATTCGACCAATCAATTGAAATTCGAAATGCGTTGCCCCACAAGTACATCCGCACATGGCACATAGCGCACAGCACTCAACACACAACACAGAGCGCACAGCGCACATTAGACTTCCAAATCGGATCGATTGATAAGCACGCAGATACGCAGATACACAAAATTGTGTATGTACGTATATGGAAGTGTATTCTGACGACGCCACAGAAGCACCAGTAATGGTGATTACACATGAATTACAGAGTGACAATTCTAAAAACTAAAGACGAAACCCGAGGAACCTATGTTACATATATTGTATTTTGTGTGATTGCACGCTTCTTGAGACTTTCGTATGGTTCAGTCTTTCAGTTTCTTTAGGCGGTCCTGCCAATTATGTCCAGCAGGTAGGGGGTGTAGTAGGTAATGATGCAATCGGCCCCAGCGCGACGGAAGCTTCGCATGGACTCCAGCACGGCATCGCGCAGCTCGAAGGCACCTGCCTTAGAGGCGTGATAGAGCATGGCGTACTCGCCGGACACCTGGTACACGTACAGTGTGTGGTAGGGATAGGAGTCCTTGGTCTGTCGCAGAATGTCCAGGTACGGCATGCCGGGCTTCACCATCAGCATGTCCGCCCCCTCGCTGACATCGCGCTGAATTGCGCGCATGGCCAGGCTGCGGGATCCACTGGGCAGCTGGTAGCACCGCCGATCGCCGAACTTGGGGGCCGACTGAGCCGCCTCCCGGAACGGACCGTAGAAGTTGGACGCGAACTTGGCGGAATAGGCCAGCAGCGAGACACTGTTCAAGCTGGCGTCGATCAGGGCCTGCTTGATGGCCCGCACGCGGTTGTCCATCATGTCGGAGGGAGCCACGATGTGGGCCCCAGCCTGTCCGTACGCCACGGCTATCTCGGCTATCCGCTTTATGCTCGGTCCGTTCTCCAGGCCTGCCTTGCCCAGGAGGCCGCAGTGGCCGTGCGAGGAATAGGGACAGATGCACACGTCACAGGCAATGAGCAGGTCGGGAAACCATTCCCGCAGCTTGGGCAGGGCTCGCACCACAGGGTTCACCGCCGAGTCCGCATTCGAGGCCTCCTCGTCCTTCAGTTCAGACTCTACCACGCCGAAGAGTAGCACGGAGGTCAGTCCCTTCTTGACCAGCGGCTCCAGGTGATCCCGCAGTCGGTTCACTCCGAACCTGGAGATCCCTGGCATGCTGGCGATCGGCTGCACATCGTCGTCGTTGCTCACAATGAAGACGGGGTACATCAGGTTGTGAGGCGAGATTTCACAGCCCGACTCCTGCAGCAGTCGCAGGGTGGGATGGTGCATGCCACTGTGTAGTTTCCGGTCCATACTTCCGTCTATTTCACTCAACTTTCTTTGCTTTTCTCCCGAAAACGGCAGAAGTGTCCACACCAGTGAGAATCAGCTGATTCAGCTGTAGTTTATCGACCATCAGAAACATACCAAAATATACCGTTCATTTGAAAAATATACCGTAACTATAATGAAGAGTGCAAGATATATTATACATATTCTTCGTTTTTAAAATTCCGTAGAATATTACTAGCTATATAGAAACTTCAGCCCTGCCCACATAGTTTAATTCGATTAATTAATCAATTTTCTACTTGACCGGCTTATTTTAAATACTTGCTTTTTTGGATCTTGTCTAGAACAAGGTTTAAACAAAAAAGGTAAAGAAAAAAACAGTGGCAACGTAAGTGACTATGGAAGCAGCTTTACTGGGGTATGGGCATTTTAATACCCTATTTTGTATACCCTATAATTAATAATGGCCTTTTCTCAGATTCATATTTTTTAGACATGTTCAAACATATGATTTGTGTCTTGTATTTTAATCTCGATCCCGATCGATCTTGGTCTCTGTAAGCTGCAAAATATCGTTGAAATAGCTTTAAAACAGAAACTGACTAGTTTCTGCATATATAAATAGGAGCTTGAGATGACAAAAATTGTCTCAAATCTATAATATCAATTTCCCCAGGGTATAAAGAAGAGTCTTAACCGATTCGGCCATTATTTTAAGCGCCAAATAGAAATTCTTTGAAAGTGAATAAGCGGCAAGGATTTAAATGCATTAAATTGAACCTTATCCTCTGCTAGGCTAGAAAATAACGCAGAGCTTGTGACATCAACATTCATAGGGAATGCTACGAGTTCCACCTCGTGTTGATTTTAGGTAGGTATTACTATACAAAAAATTTTAATGAATGCATGAGCTGTAACAATTACATTATAAATTTGGCCGTCTCCAATGATTTTGCGCGGTACATTTGAAATTATCTTCGATTTACGTTTTCCCTCTTCGTTCCCGCCATGAAGTTGTAGAAGTTCGAAGATTGGAAAATATATCATAGGTATAGGAACCATTTCAACCTACTCCGACTTCCAATTCCAGAGGTTATTCGAATACGGAAATACAGCAAAACTCTGGTTCTGATTCTGCGTACGACTATTTATTACTTTTCAAGTATTTTCGTTAAAATTCAAGTGAAATAAGTTGTATTATTAATTGTACAGCAATAAATGATGGTGTCGAATGCTACGTTCCTCACACCCTCATGCACACATGCTCGCTCGGGCGAGCCTGCCTCCTCATATTCCGTACATTTGCCCGTAAATGGAAAACTAAACATATGCACTGCACTACGAGTGTACATAGTAGTAGGATATACATTACAAGAAATACACACGAGTATGTACCCACACATGTGGGTATGTACTACAGATACAAATACTAGTAGTCGCAAACATACATTCCACGCTTAGAAGTAATTTAATTAAACACAAATACGTAAAATTGTGGTGTCGCCTGTCCCCGTCGTTAAAACTTGTACTTTCGACTTAAATTTAGTTAGTGAAATAATCAGTAAACGAGAACGAGAACAGAATTAACTTCTAACTTAATCGTAAACGTAAACGAGTTGGATAAATATTTGGTTTGGTTTTCAATTGTAAGTAACAGCCATTGGAAGTGCGTTTGGGTTCGGTTTTGTTCTTCTTCTGTTGAGAGATGCCTTGAGCTGCGATGCGATGCGGATGACGATGGCGATGACATTAGCCTCCACTAAGAAACCAGAGAATGGTGATAGTGCACACGTAGCTGGCGACGACGCTGCCGGAGCTTGGGCAGCGCCGGCTTGACTTCTGCTGCTCCGTGCAGAGTGACTGTGTAGGAGTGCAGCTTGATGAGCGGCTCTCGTAGTTCAAGCTCCGTTCTGGGCTTGTTCTGGTCGTTGTGGTGTGGTGGTGCTGTTGATGTTTCAGATGTTGCTAATGCTGCTGGTGTGTGGGCTGATGGTGTGCTGGAAGTAGCATTCCGGAGACACGTTGTGGTATTATCCGTCTTTATAGTAGTTGCTGGTGGTGCTGTTATACGTGGCTGGCCTCCCTTGCCCCCTAGTCGTCGCGCTACTGGTCGTTCGCCTTGAGCTGGTCAAGCGAAAGACACTTGATAGAAGAGCCACTCTTCCATAAATGACGGAACGAATGCCTTCGATGTGGTGAACTTAACCTTCGGCTTGAGCAGTGACAGCTGCTCTTCGAACAGCTCCAGAGATTCAGTGCAGCTGGTACCGTTGCCGTGAGTCAAGAACTTGCCATCGGGCTTCAGCACCTTGAACGAGTGCTCGAAAATGGTCCTAATAAAATCCCAGTCGACACCGACAGGTGCCCCTGTGATGGGTATGTCGGTGAGGTCCCCGAACACATAGTCAAACTTGCGGCCCTCGCCAATGAACTTCTTCAAGTACTCTACACAGTCGCCCACAACGATTTCGTACTGGTCGCTCCTGCGCTTCTCCAGAACATCGCCGCAAATCGAATTGAGATACTTGTTGCAGGCCTCCATCACCAGCTCATCGATCTCCAGCATCACCACGTGCTTGGGGTTCTCCTTGAGCAGCTCGTACAGCAGGGCGCCGTCCCCGCCACCCAGAATGCAGATCTCCTTGCCCTCATAGTTTTCAATGCCACGACCCATCAGGGTTTCCGTATAGATCAGATCGGACTCGGCGATGTCTGTAAAAAGGGGGAAATGATTATATCATGCTGAAGCTTACGCTGGCGCTAATCGATTGCCGATGGCCTGGCCTGGTCTGGCCGCCTCTATGTGGCACTTACTCTGAAGCTCGTCTAACAGCAGCATGTTTCCCAGGGTCTTTGAGTGTAAGATTTGAATCTTCTGGAAGGGCGAGCGCACCTCGTAGACCAGCTTGTCGATATCGTACTCAATGATGCGCTCATCTGCGAAAGATTAACCATTATTAGAATGTGCTTCAACATGTGTACATATCTATGCGAATAGGCATTAGAATTCAGTTGACTTTTGGTGGCTAAGCGGCGGCATGCTGAGAACCAACGGAGAATCAGAAGCAAAACGAACCGAAAATGATAGAGAAAGAACATCAAAGTAACACAGAGGCTCGACTCCCATCAAAAGAAGGAGAGAGTCCGACATTACATTAACCAAAAATCCGAACTAACGAAAAATGGCTGAAATGAATCTATCATGCTTGGTGCCTCTAGAACTCTCAGAACATCAGCTCGGTGCTGCATACGCATACGCTCAACGTTCATTCATACGAGTACATCAAGATGTACGACGAGTATTACATAGTACATGGTACATACATATCAGTAATCAGTATATCAGTAGTTTGCTCTATTTTGTAAAATGAAAACCAAAGAGTATACGTTACCTGACGATGGAAAATACCTAGGGACATCACCGCGCCTCAGGGCGGGCAGCTTTTGTCCCCTAATGGCCTTCAGTTTCACGGCCAAGGCATTTTCCAAGCTCTTGCCATGCACCAAGCCCTAGTGGGGGTGGTGGTGGTTCGATTCGATTCGATTCGTTTCATTTCGTTTCGTTTCGTGGTTGGTGGTTGGTGGTGGTGTAGGTGTAGTTGTTGTTGATCGAGAGCGAGCGAGCGAGCGTACGTAGGAGCGAGGCGAGGCGAGGCGAACGAGGCGAGTCGAGGCGGGGCAGGTGACAGACACATGTTGTGCATAGGGCGTATAAGTATAATTTCAATAGTTTACACATTATTTTATAATTCAGATATAATTTTGGTGAAATTTCAGTTTGGTTTTTCGTTGTTTTGTTGTCGGATTGCAAGTGGCCCCGAGATGTGGTTGTTCATGGCGCGAAGATGAGAGATCGGATTGATCGTTTGAATATATATGGAAATAAAAAGTATACAAAAATTAAAAAATAAAAACAAATTATCATAAATCATTTAGAGGAGGGAATAAGTACAATACAAAGAACGTCCGGGCCGTCTTTGAGGGCCGTCTTTGGAAACTAGTAGCGTGACGGAACAAGCATGCAGAAACGTCCTAGGTAATTCGTATTTAGCTAGGATGTAACGCTATACATATGTACATATGTAGGTGGGTGGGTGGATTGGGTGGCAAACCGATTATATTCATGATGTGTTGTACATAGTAGGTGCATAGAAAATTTCTCTCAGGCCTTGGGACCGACCACCGTGTAATCGCATTTGCACGGATAACATTACTTCACGGACGCTCAAGGCCCAGCAGCGGAATTTGAAAAGACTGTTCTCGGATTTTCAGGTGGAAAAGTGGTACGAATATATAGTGGGTGGTGGGTAGTGGGTGTTTTTTAGGTATGAGGGTTTTTTTTGTTTTTGTTGTTTTGTTATATTTATTGCAAATGGAACTGGGCGTAACTAAACTAATTCGACCAACCTGAGCTAGTCATATATATGTCGATATATCCGCCGCGCTTTATCGGTGGCAAGTACTTGGACCGATCGGAATCTAATTTCTGTCGCAGAATCAGTTCCATGGTGCGCATGGTCTGCAAAGTAATGCTTTATTTAAACCTCTTACAAACACAAATGCTGGCACGAGTTGGGTAATTGATGAATAAATCAAAAATACATATGGTAGACCACAGCGTAAGGAATGACCTTCGCGGCGAACTCTACGAGCGCCCCCCGCTTAGGCAGCCCAGCCGCAAAACTATTAATAGTCGCAAATACTTGGATACTTATGAAAAAGGAAAGTGAATAAACCAAAAAGGAATCTACAGACCGAGCCATAAATATGCCTCGAGGGCCTGCTGCTGCTGCAGCTGCAGATGCAGATTGCAAAATACATACCAAGAAAAAACATACAATGTTTGTGGGGAAATCGCAGAACCGGCATCGAGATACGCGGGGGCTACGTGTGTATATGTGTATAATCGTACTATCTACATATGTTTTTCGCTGTTTTGTGTGGCATTGGATCCGAATTTCAATCAATGAACTTGATTTCGAAGCGACCAACCCCACGTGGGCCCCAGAAAGAGAGCAGTAGCGAGAGAGCGGGAGCGGGGGACTGGTGAGGTAATCTAGCGCAAAAGCCTAGTGTTAGGCCCGTCGTCAGATGATATGCATATGCACGATACATACATGTAAAGCCACCAAATCGGCTAGCGGAGGTGTTAGATAATACTTTAGGCCTTGTATGGTGGCATTGGGGAGAGGATAGCCGCACTGTCGGCCCCTTGAGGCCAAGGACAAGCCAGCCCATGAGTGACCCAGAGGCCGAGGGTTTGGGTACAGCACGAGGCATCGACGACGCGAAAGGGAAAACGGTCTGGCACGCCCCCGCCGCCGGCACGAGACACGCACACATACACCCAGACAGAGACACAAACAACCGTGCACTCGAATGTATGTGGAAAATCAATTTCCCTGCTGGCGGAAGAAACCCCTTCCTTCAGCTAATCAACACCGGAAAGCTAGGTGTTTTTCCTGTGGCAGGGGTATGGTTTGGGGGCACCTCATGTGTAAGTATGCGATGGCAGGGACGGAAGGCGAGTGTTGTCGGTGTAATCTTAGGGAATAGCTCTACATACATCAAAGGACATTATGGGCTCCTTGCCAGCGGGCAGGAAGTACTCCACATTGACGGTCAGCAGGCCGTGCTGGAAGATGCGGCAAGTGATAATCGTGGCCTTGTTCTCGTGTAGCACCGAGAAGTACCCGTTCTCGGGCGACTCCATGCTGTATGCCAGCTCCAGCTGGGGGAAGACGTGCTCCAGTTCGTTTCGCAGTATCTTGGCCACCTCCTGGCGCTGCTTCTCGTCGGCCGTTTTGGCACTATCCAGCGTGAAGTCGAACAGTATGGTCTGGGCTGCCATTGTGCTAGTCCACAGATTTTTCCAACTTTTATTTTCTCAGATTTTCCGGGCCGAAAATCCGCGATACAAATGCGCGCAACAACAAAAGTCTAGTGATGAGCGGAAGGAATCTCTGCACAATCGATGGCACCCTCGCCGATTGTTTAACGTTTGCCAACACCGTTTCTATTATTTATACGTATCGTTCAAATGTCGATATTATTTGGCTCCAATGGTATTTTGTCAACATTTTCGATCATCGATATATATGTAAACAAACAAAATCTTTACTGCACAAATTTATTGAACAAATTGATTGCATTAAAGATTTATATGATCTGCCGGATCGCTGCCACTAAATCTAGCACCCGTGTGTCGGGTGTGGGATAAAAAATTAGCCGTAATCTGAGCGCCTGAGCATACAACTATTTGCAGGTAAGATGTCGCGTGCATAGCCTGATGGCAATAGCTTCTAATGATCTTTATATTTTTGATGTTTTAGATCGGGGTCGTGGTGGCATATCCTATGATACATGGGAAATAATGTCCCAAGTGCGGCTGGATTATGGACCACTCATTGGACAATCTCTGCAGGTCTTTAACCACTTTGCTATCAGCATCAGTGTGTATCAGCCGAAGGCGACGAAACATAAGTAATATGTATGTGTGAGAGTGCTGTTCCCGGCCAAGTTTCCTGGAGCGCAAGTCCTTGAGACCCACCTCATCTACTCGCTCCAGCTGCAGCGCGACCCCATCTCCACATTCAAACCGCTGTATGAAAATAGCATGGGGAAAAAAAGGATGAGGATGTCAAGCTACTGAGCGCCTTCTACACCATCCACTTGCGCTCGCCTCTGAACCTATGCAATTCCCTACCTATCAACACTATAGTTTCGTTCGCTGGGTTTTCTGTGCGAAGGTCCAGGTGAGGAAGCACAACAGAGAGGATGCTCTGCATTACCCTACAGTTCGCCTGTCGGAAAAGGACGCCCATCGACACTCAGTGCGCGCCACATCCGTGGAGGTGCTATACCATCCACCGGATTACAGTAGACCCATAATCCTGAGCTTCCGCGATTAGCTGTTCTTCGACCACCAGTTTGCTAAATCTGGATTAGATCGGTTCATTGTTATAGACAGAATAGCCAACATAGCCCCTGTCACGCTTTGTCTTTCTCTCTCTTACACTCTTAATCATGTAGTGTGCGCCCCCTGTCGGAGGAGGCTGGTGTTGGTGTGAGAAGTGAAAGAGAGAGAGACAGATGTAGCGGAATAAAAAAGAGTAGCGGAAGGATGGAAACAGATAACAGATCTATCTTCTATAATCCTGATCGGAATGCACAGGCTGTCCTAAAGATTTAACCTTCCTGGATCCATTGGTTCTTATTATTAAAAAGATGAAGTTAATCCAGAAATAATCCAAAAACGAATTATCTTTCTCTAATTTCTCTAATAACCCTTTAGAGAAATTCTGCTTTCTAAACTGGATATAAGACATGGTGATGGGAAAGAAAGGTCCTTGAAAAAAAAGGAAAAAATAAAATTTAATAAAATGGTCGAACAGCAGTTAAAAATGTTGTTTATTGGAAGAAACTACACCAGCTTCTTGGAATGACGACCCTTCCATGCCATATACCGAATATGCATGTACATATAAGTTGCCCTTTATTAGAGTAGAGGTCTATGAATTAGATGTAAGGTGAGCAGCAATCAGGCAACTACCATATGGTTATCAATCGCAGGAATCAAAACGGAGGGAATGGTGATCTGCCCTCTCATTTTGTTTATGTGTTTAAGAAGAATATCGGGATTCAATTACCGATTCGATCATTTACTTAAAAATACAATAGCTAGACGGCGTTTGAACATAAATTCTGCAGCTGTGCGAGCACTTGCTATTCCTACGAAAACTAAGGCTTAAAGCGAATAGAATGGAACAAATGCATTTCTTGGCAATGGCAGTTATATGATATGTCAGATATTCCGGGCCCGCGCAACAACAAAATAATAGAGCAGTGCGGAAGGAATACCTATACAACCGATAGTGCCCGTGCCGATTGTTGAACGTTTGCCAGCACCGTTTCTATTATTTTCACGTGCGACTTTCATAGTATCGATATTCCGATAATATATGGATATCGGTTTTGTTCCCAACAATATATATCAAAATACTTACATCCCTAATCAGAGTCCCCAACACCCCAACATCGCTCGGACCCCCAAACAGCGCGCCGCATTGCCCACAATATTGAATTACACAAACAATACTATACTTGAATGTTGTGCCGCGAGAAGTGAGACAGTTCTTCAGCGAAATAGGTGTTTCGTGAGAGAGGTGTCCATCAGGTAGGAAGGATTTGTCAATGCGGCACCTGCACGCTCTAGTGTGTGCACCTGAACCTGAACTTGAATGCGAGTGTCGCGCGAGACACTCAGCATCGTGCGCCATCCAAGGCGAGCGTTTGGCGGCAACAATGGGCTGCTAATTATAAATCACCCGCGAGCCCAGCATAGGAGCAGCGCGGTGTGCAAATGAAGTGATGTCGCCATATCGCGACGCGAGACGTGGTCGACTGTGTGTTTGTGTGTCTCTGGTGGCTGTGTGGGCGCCATAGCCACAGCATGCCAATGTTGTTACGTCGCCGTTTCGGCAGCAGCCACAGCCACCCACCCCTGTCAACCCACCCCATGTCTCATGCTGGCGCCCAGGCATTGCCGGAGTAACTACTGCCATGACTCGTGGCTCCCCCGTGGGTGCCTTCGAGTGTCGCGACTGTTATTACACTGTATGACTGTGCTGTATTGATTTTTTGAATCCTTTCAGATCCCACTGTCCGCACAACATGTGAGGGAGGTCCCCGGCGAATCCTGGGCCACTGCAGGTGAGTGTGCGTGCGTGCGCATATGAGTAGTAGCCTCCGTCAGCTAATTAGCCCTGCGTTTATTCATTCATTCAAATCCTTGCAGTGGAACACACACACGCAACGCAAAACTCCCGATGGGCTGAGCTGAGGGACAAGCAGCCCAATTAGCCAGCACTCGTACGACTCGTACGAGATTTTCGGATCGTGTACGTCATCGACGTGCTCAAAATAATTTGCATTGGGAAAGCAAATACTGTGCAAAAGTCACAAAAGTCAGCGACGGCCACGGCAGCGCATCTGCATTATTCGATGACGACTTGGCTGCTGTCTGCCATTACTATTTATATGCCATTATACCCGTGCTACTGAGCAAAACAAACAGTCAGCGGCGGGCAGAGGCCAAGAATCTCATAAATGTCAACCGTACGTTAGACGAAAACTAGCCGCGAGTCGCGCGCTATGGGCAGCCGAGAGATCCCCGTGATAGTACCTAACAAAGCACAAATTTACTTTGCAAATTGCCTTCCTCCGGCAGAGGTTGAGCTAACCTCGTGATGTAAGGAAGAGCTCTGCTCTGGGAAATCAACGAACAAAGCGATTTGATAAGACTATTTTGTCCGACTCGTTCGCCATGCAGCACAGCACCGCTGGCAGCGAGGAGCGCATCACTAGCTCCACCAGCAGCCCCCGCTCTGGCCACAAAACGGGCAGCTCTCTCTTCGGGCTGCTGACCAAGCGCCCCAGCAAGGTGGAGCCCCATCCCGTAACTCCCGATTCGCCAAGCCTCCAACGACGACCCTTGTCCGCCTGCGGCCACTATGATGTGAGCTTCGCCAAGGCCACAGCGGAGCAAGCGGGCAACCATGTTGCCGTCAGCAGCAGCAACAACAGCAATAGCAACCACAAAAGCCAAACTCTGCCGCTGGAGAAATCGCACAGCGGTCTGATAAGCTTCCACAGGCGGACCAAGCCGCCGTCGAAGAGCAAAGGACATGCCCACCGCTACAGCAGTGACGCGGGCTCGCAGAGCGATGGAGGTGCGGACGTTGTGATGCGTCGCAAGTCGCCCAAGCACCGGTCGCCGAACCACAACCGATTCAGCCACCAGTTCAGCCTCTGCTGCAAGGCCGAGAAGAAGCCCCTGACGCCACCGGTCACGGTGCGCTACAATTCCATACCGGACAGCACCAGCAACAGCGTGCTCCGCCGCGACAACCTATCGTTGAGCTGGAGCATGGTGGATAACAATTCTGTCTCGATGAACTCTAGCGAGGGTGGCACATCGTTTCAGCGACCACGTCTGTCCAGTGAGTGCGCCAGTGCACCAGAGTCGCCCGTCGGCACCAAGACCTTCTTTGCCCAATGCAGCAACGCCGCTGCCGCCGCCTCGGCCACAGCCGGTGCATCGGCCTCCGCTGCTGTCGCGAGAAGTGAAAGCATGCCCCGTTCCCCGATCCGGCCCATCGCAGTTTCGGCCTGCCGCTCGCGTCTCCGCCTGAAGCTATATCCGCCCGGGAAGGAGCTGCCGCAACTGCACACTGCTGAAGAATCCACAGATATTAAGCGGGCCACAACGCCGCAGCACATGTCCTCGCCCAACATAGCCAGCCAGCCGGATGGGTTTGAGGCGGCTATGCAGGAACAGCCTGGCGTCCGCTTCATGTCGCACGAAAACATGACGCTGCAGAGACAAGGCTCTGGCTCCAACCTCGCACGCCAAGCCCTGGTGGCTGCTCATGCCCTGAACCTTATACCTGCCGAGAAGGCACGCGAACGGAGCTACCTGGACGGTCGACTGGGCTCCTCCTCTCTGCTGGGGCCCAGCGAACTGAGCCGCGTCCTTCCGCAGAAGGAAGTCACCATCTTTGTAGGAACATGGAACATGAACGGTCACAGTCCACCCAAGTGAGTTGAAACGCAAATATCATCGTATTGCGGACCCTAACTTAATGATGCCTTTGCTGAAATTCCAGACAATTAAATGACTTTGTGCTGCCGGCCAATGTAGAGCATGTGCCTGACATAGTTGTTATGGGAACCCAGGAGTCCACTCCAGACCGCTTTGAGTGGGAAGTCACGCTGCAGGAAACCCTCGGCCCCTCGCATGTGCTCTTCCATTCGACCACTCTGGGAACCCTCCATTTGGCTGTCTACATGCGACGCGATCTCATCTGGTACTGCTCGGCGCCGGAGGATGCCTCCATGTCGGTGCGCACCGGCTCTGCTTTCCGCACCAAGGGCGCAGTGGCCATATCCTTCTGCCTATTCGGTACTTCCATGCTTTTTGTGACCTCCCACTTGACCGCCCACCAGCAGAAGGTGAAGGAGCGGGTGTCGGATGTGAAGCGCATAATTAACGCACTGGATTTGCCACGCAATCTGCCCAACCTTCGGCACAAAAACAAGGATGTGACGCAAAACTTCGACAACGTCTTCTGGTGCGGTGACCTGAACTTCCGACTCGGTGAGCCGCGCGAGAAATTGATGGAGTGGATTCAGAACACAAAGTTCCCGCTTCCGTCGCACTTGCCACACGGTTACATGCACACGGACCAACTCTCTTCTGTGCTGGCCGACGGTGCCGCCTTCCGTGGGTTCATGGAGGCGAATATAACATTTCCACCCACTTACAAGTACGACCCGGGTAGTCAGAACTTTGACACCTCCTCAAAGCAGCGTGCTCCGGCCTACACCGACAGAATCCTCTACAAGTACAGGCAGGTCCAGGGCCTAGTCATACGTCGCCAGACCATAATACCGGGCGTATCCACGCCGACACAGCCCTATGTGCAGTGCCTGTTGTACGATTCGGTACCTTCGATAACCACATCGGACCATAAGCCGGTGTGGGCTCTATTTAAAACCCTCATCCGTGCCGGAACTGATGCGTAAGTTTTAAAGTTAAGCCCGAGATGCAATTAATAGAATAGCTTTATTTCGTCTCCATTATAGGATTCCCTTGGCTGCTGGATTGTTCAGTCGGGACATTTACTTGGAGGGAATGCGCCGTCGCTTGAATAACCAATATACGGGCGCCTCGGCCGTCTGTGCCATACAGTAGACTCTCATTAGCAGCTACTAGCTAGTCAAAGCTGGAGGTGGCTGTTCCGGCAGCTTCCTCCAGCCACCTACTTAGTCATTTACTCGAATCTGTCAGCTAGAGACTGGCTGGCATTTCTACAGTGCTAGTCAAAGCTTTCCTACGGTTGTGTGTCGCCATTGTATTACCTAGATAGGACTCTAGTCTGCAGTCAAATACCAAATACTCGTTCGTGACTTGCCATGCAACGCCGCGGTAGTACTTAGACGCCGCCTTTTGCCTTTCGCCTCGAGGCCTTAGATCGTAATACGTTCCTTATGAAATGATTATGAATGCATACTCAGAAACAATTCTGTACCTCTACTCTAAAGCACAAGCCTAGCGAGTAGTTAAATTAAATGTGTTTTAGCTAACTAACGTAGTCCAAATGTTGAAAAGAGCTCGAAGAACTATAAAATACTTTGATTGTTTAAACTGAAGTACATAGTAGTAAATATACATACATATTATTATACGAATCTGAATTAAGCAATTGTTGATTCTTGAAACCCAATTGTTAGAATATTTATTTGATTATTATTTAGTTCTTATGATTGTTATTGTTGAATCGTGTCTAGTGATCTGATTATTGAATAGTTTGCAAACCCTATGAAGATTTTATTTCGTTTTAAGCACAAATAATACGTTACTTATGATTTAATTAAACGTTCAAGCCGGAATTGTCCTTCCATTACCATCAACCGACTAAATACCCCAACAAAAATGGAAACTCATAAGCTCCGGGGATCTACACGAGCATCATCATTCCGTAATGGGGCCGGGCCGTCATCGTTGCCCTCACGAAAATGAACCAAAAACGACCATCCCCCAATATGCCATTCGGACACACACGCAAATATGTTAAACTTTTGACCAATTTCAACTTGAGTTGGCTGCCTTGGGGCCCCGGGCGAGCAGCAATTTATTGCCATGGTTGCGATTCGATAGCGCTGGCCATGTTGCAGTCGCAGGCAGAGTCCAGCCGCTGCCACTGCTGCCACCGCCACTTGTGCACCATTCAAGTGGCCTCGCGGTCTCGGCTCCTACTGCGACTGCACCCCACTTGGGGCGGGAAGCTTGGTGGCATTTGTGGTCATGGGTGTATGCGTATAAGTATTCGCATCTGCGAGGGTTGGTCCAAAAGTAGGCGATTTGCATGTAACAATGATTTTCGAAAGGAAACTTATTACAAAAATTATTGCAAGTGCATATATGGTGCATAAACGTAGGTACTAGATGAATGTACATATTTGTGTACTTGACTTTTTCGAATTTTCTGTGAATTCAGAGGAAGAATATAATACTTTTAAGCACTCATTTTTCTGCAAGTCCAATAGTATGAAGCTGATATATGATATATGAGCATATTGAAAATATCTTAAATTAAGATCACGTTCCAGGAATAGCGCATTGTGGTAAAAGGAAAACGTTCAATTCTTCTGGTTTCTCGGATAAAGCCTCGAGAGTGGGCCACAATTGTAGAATCTGGAATACCTTTATCCAGACTTTATCCTACATGTTGATATAATGTCCTGCAGGTTCAATCCCAAGTTGAGCGTATTGAAAGCCTTCAATAGTCTAATAATTCCCCGATTTGAAGCTTCACTGGTACCGCTTATAGGCGATAACGACAATTATTCCGATGAACTTAGCTGTCTCGTAATTTTTCGGTAGCCGGTAGTTTTTAAAGAACCACAAACACTTCTGTTTCAATAATATGGTATTAGATTATGTATATAAATTTAATTATGCCCGGTACTCGAGGAGTTTTAGGATATAAGTTTTGTGGTGGGTGTGCAACACCCAGAAGGTCGCGTTTTGCGACCCCATAAAGTATATATATTTTGGATCAGCATCTATAGCCGAGTCGATATAGATGTCTCTGTCCGTCCGTCTTGTTTGACTTCTAGCTCTTAGGAACTATATGAGCTAGAGCAACCAAATTTTGTGTGCAGAGCCCTGTGCTATCACACTGAATCAAGTTTGTTTGCTACATGCCCTTCCTCTCCAATTTTGAAGATACGCAGAAACTTTGAGCATGACCATATCTAGCAGATTTCCGACCGATCCGACCGGATTATTATTATAGCCAGAAGGAACAAATAAAATTGCAGTGGTTACGCTACTTCTTCCACGCGCTTACTTATTCTCTCTTTCTCCTCCTCGTGCAGTGTGCGCCACCTAGCTGAGGGAAGCGAGATAGCAATATATCTGGTGTTAATGTGACAAGAGAGAGAGAGAGAGAGACAGATTTAGGGGAATACAAAACAGAAGCAGAAAATGGAAACAATTTAAAGACTAATTCAAATATTCTAATATTCGAATCAAATAGGTTATTAGGTGCCGCCTAAAAGGATAAACAAAGTGGCAACTAGTGGTCGTGGTTCCTCTGTCTCTCTATGTTTTTCCCCTTCTCCTAGCCAACAAATTAGTTCGACAGCGAAACTAAGGACAGAGCGACAGATTCCGGCGCTTAAGTATAAAATATAATGTATAGGTTAAATCATAAGATCACGTATATTCTGACTGAATACAGGGTATTAAAGTAGAGCCGCCGCCCTTGCCGCGATTCAGAACGATGCCGCTCGGTTTTGATTTCGAGTATATGTCCATGTATCTTTGTTACGTATCTGTTCAAAACAGCTGCAGGCTGCCAACTGCTACACTAGGCTGCTGATGTTCAAACACGCATTTTAGGATCTGACATTTCTCCTATAGGTTCTGACGAAACATTTGAAGAATTATAAATTTCTTTGGGTACTCAGTGCTACTTTGATAGGTTTCCCCAAGAATAAAAACCGTGCTATATCGTAGGAGTACTAATCGAACTCACCTCGTATGTGTGGGCTCAGAGGTCAGTGTTTCATTCGCTTGACCAAAATCAGTTTTCGAATTGGTCAAACAAAAAAGTTAATGATTGGATGGCCCTCCTTCCGCTCTGGGGCCCCATGGGAATCCCATGCCAGATGGACTTGATTCCGTTTGTAGTGTACGGGTCCTTTTTGAGGGCCTCCGAGGACTGGCCGGAGAACGAAACTCTTGTGCGGGCGCCAAATTTGTTTAAAAAAACGAGAACAATTTCGAGTGCGTTTTGTTTCATTGCAATCTCTGGGCTGTGGTCGGCGGATGGTATTGTTTGGCGCTGCTGTTATTGTTTTTTTTTCCACAGCTTCTGTAATTCATAAAGTTTTTTGTGGACTGCAGGATTTTTCAGGCTGCTATGAGTCTAGGATGGAGTTGGAACGGGTCTGGGCATTGCCTGAAATTAGTTTGCGTCGGCTGGCAGGACGAAGCGATTGCCCTGTCAAAACTGAAGCTCATTTCCTCTCTTTGCTGAAATTTAACCACAATATATGAAATTATATTAGCACCAAAGGTCGGGGCAACTTGGCGAATAAAAACTATGCCCCTTCTGGCTGTCTATGGGGCCAGGCCACCATCTATGTGTGTCTGCCACGCGGTATGCATGTGTGCGTCGGTGCCAGCGAGCAGTGCACATTAATATCCTGTGCGCATTCGTACGTGTTAATATGACTTTATGACTTCATATGTGTCCATATTTTTGTCCCCGCTTCACGTTTCACACTAAAAAGTTTTATTGTTAGTTACGCTGCTGCCACCATCAAAGCAACCATTTTTATTCACAGTGTTGAAGATGCAGAAATTATTAAAAATTTCCCTATGCCAACCCCCCTTCCCCTCCCCACCCCATGCATAGCACACTCGTATCTCAGGGCTCTGCCTGCACTATCAGACACTGAACTTTTTCATATGCAACAGGGCGGGAGGTGTTGTGAAGGCTGCATTTACGGTGAGCAGATCTGATGGATGTGAGTCGTCCACAGTGGAGCAACTCAAAGGATTAAAGAGAACAATAGAAATACTTTTTGGATCTTAAGATCTGTTGTTCTGTTTTGATTACAAAATTTTAGTTATTGGGAGACGAAATTGAATTCTGGTGCTGATCTGAAATTCTTCAATCTTTATTTTATAATGGTTTTCAAACCCGGTTCTGTAAGAGTATAGGGTATAGGTATAGGTATATTATAATGTGGTGAAAGTGGATGTGTGTAACACCCAGAAGGAAGCGTTGCCGACCCCATTGGCCTTGACATATCAAATACAGTGCCGCTCAACTGAATAGGTTCAATAATTTTCAATAGTCAAGCCGCTATATCTTTTTAACCAACTTAGCGATTTATATGAAATAATTTTTTTTTGCATAGATTGATTCATTGTTAATATAGCAAGAAAGTTTGTGGTTTCCAGGACACGTTTTTAAAGGCTATTTATTAATATTTTCAAAAACATTACAAAAAATTCCTATTTATTCAAGCTCAACTGAATAGGTTCAAGTGCATTATTGCATTTTGAGGTCCTTATCGCTTAGTAAACGACGTAATTTTTTGTTTGCTAATTGCAGTCGAAGTAATTTACGTTGATTTTTTTTTTGTAAATTCTGGCCTGAATCAGCGTGAAATCCCTAAAAGAATAGGACGAAGCCAAATGTAATTGCCATTTTTATTCGTAATGAAACAACGTATGGATTCTATTATATTTATTGTATTTACATTTCAGATATGCTTGGTTTTTGTACAATTTATCCGATATGGCACCCATTTCCTTTTAGCCCACTCTCGCATATGGGCGGGGCTCCGGCACCGGCTCCGGCTCCACATTAACGGTAGTTCCCGTATGTGCATATGCTGCTCTCCCTGCGTATGCCCCGGCTCGTCATGGCATTCGGCGAAGCCACTTGAATGCTTATTGTACATTTCAAACAACTCTATTACGAATATTTTTCATATTTCTTCGCAAGTGGGGCACAGGCACGGAAAAAGTTAACATTAAAAGCGATGGCGGTGCCGAAAAGGCTGCCGGAGCGAGGCTGGGGCGGAGAAGACGCCAGTCAAAGCAACCAATTCGCATGCGGCACGTTACATTTTCGCAATAAAAAATGTAAACCGCTTTGCATGCATCTGTAGGAGAAAAGACTGCGGCTCTCACTTGCTTCTGGGGCGTGTATGCGTGTGTGTGTGTGTGTGTGTGCGTGTGTGAAGAGAAAGGAGGCAAAAGTAATAAATGTACGTGCCGCACTAGCGAAAACTCCGGGAAAAGCAGAAGTAACGGCTCCACACATGCACACACGGAGGCAGTCGTGTCAATTTGGAATAAAACCAGGAAGGAAGGAAGGATACCCTTGAGGACTAACAGATTCCTCCTTTGCCATCATAATATGGCTCTCCAACTAGAACTTCTCTGATGATCGCTGAATAGGATGATTTCTCTAATGATATGACGCGAAGGAACCCACAAACTACTGCTTGGACATTGCTGGATTGAGAACCGTATTACATCATCAGAAATACTGTCGTTTGTTCGATTCAAACGTTCCATTTCCCCTTCGAAAGGGAATGAGAAGCGCCATCTTCCAT